CCCAGTCCCTCAGACAGACCCTGCATGGGTTGTTTTGTCACTTTCAAAACTTCCCTAGTTTAGATTCAAATGGGTAAAATCTCAAATTTTCCATGCCATGATGACTTCTCTTCCCATTTTAATGACAGTGTAAAATGTGAAAATGCTTTTTGAAAGAACTGAGACAGAGGCAAACATACATGCCAAACCACTTCACTTGCAGTTCAAAGCAACAGTGAGACATTCGAAATTCCTTGGAACTTTAGTACAAGTTTAATCAAGAAGAGCAGGTATGACTGTAACATTTGTATTTATGGGTGTTCACCAACAAGGAATAAGTATGAGGGTAAATTTTAGATATCTTTTTTACATAGCATATAATTTTATCTCAATAAAGTCGTTTTAAACAGTTAGATTAGACTTCAACAACCGTCAAAATTAACTGATACAGACAGACTAAGCCTGAGCCAATGAGCCAATTTCCAAACATACCTTAGATGGTCCATCCCTCATTTTCTTCATTTGATCTTTGTACTTCATAAGTTCAGCATCAAGTTTACTAATTTTTTTCTCTATGGATTCTCCTCGACTGTCGACCTAGATACGTAACAAACACAATATTTCATCGAGATCTACATGGCTCTAGCAGACATGTTGAATTCGATTTTCGAACAGATCTCAATCTTACGTTAGCGATAGCATCGGTGAGATTCGGTGGTGGTGCTTTTGGTTTCCCTCGCCCGAAAAGCCTATTCATCTTGCAAAAAAATGTACGCTTTGAGCTCTTCTTGACGAAAACCACAATGCAAACACCACTATTTTCACGATTTCCGTCAGCTTGGAAAGTTTACGAACTGTTGCGTCACGTGACCAACTCCAAATATAGACTGGAAACTATGACGTTATGATACATTTTGGAACGTGACGCGTGACGCGTGACACAGTGCGTAATTGACAGGGATGTGATCAAGCCTTGGATGTCATGAAGCCTTTGGAAGCGAGCTCTCATGCTTGAGTCAGCCTGTATAGAGATTAGAAAGGAAAAAAAAATATTAACAATCCATCACGGCTCTCTTTGCACCGATAGCAAACAAAACGGCGTTCATCTCACGTTTTCTGTAGAATGTTTGCCTAGGACTTGCGTAGAATTGCCTTAATTATCATGATAATTTAATTTTGAAATGAGTGAAGAAGTACAACCGTTTTAGACTCCTAAGAATGTTACCAGTATCGACAAGTTGGGAAAAAACTTGACATGGCCCCTTTAGAATTTAAAAATGTCTTTGCAGGTGTAAAGATAAAATTTTAGGCAAAATGCCACAGTTAGCGAACTCCTCCGTAACGACTGGAGCATAAAATGTACCTGCTTTAACAAAAGTGCGTCATAACATGAGTAAGCTGGAATGCATTTTTCCTTTAAGATAAGGTCACGTGATCCACGTACGATTTGTAAACTTTTATATGGTGACTCAGCCTGTCCTGCACTATCCTGCGAGGTGCTTATTTCCAAAGTTTTGGGTGACCCTCCTGTTAACCTAAATTTTCGGTAAAAATTTCAGATTTTTCAGAATTAAAATGAGGAATTCGAACAAGTGAAGTGGCCCCTGATTTCTACTCCTCCCACTCCCACAGCTTTTTGACTCCTGCTTCTTATTCTCCTTCGGCTAAGCGATCAAAGCATCTTTAGAAGAGTTATGTTGGGAGGATATATTTTACTGTTTTAGCCACCTCTCTCAATGTGCATTTAAATGGTTCGCTTATTATGTATGGGTCAAATATTTTCATCCAAAATTTTCCTTCACGACCCCGTGTTGTGTGTAACAAAAACAATGTTAATTGGAAATGCTTGATCGTTTTGCTGCGGCGTCAGTCCCGGTTATTTGCTATAATTGGAGTTAAAAAGCCTGGCTCGGAGGAAGTGGAAAACGTTTTTAAATTACCTACTTCTGCGTAAGCATAATTCAACTTTTTATGATACAGATTTCCAACACTTCTTCTTTTGCAAATTTCGGTTATCTTTTGGCGCATGAGTTCAGGTTTTTCATTCGTGCATGTAAGAAGATAAAATAGTTCAAAGTACTTAACTAAGAGTATCGAAATAATTAAATATTAAACATTTTCTTTTTCATTTTGAGAGACTGGGTTTCATCGGGCTGTTCTCTGTCCATTCTTTGTTCAGCTGTTCTTTACAAATACGCTACTGTTTTACCTTTTTTCTTCCCAATAAACGCAAGTTTGAATAAATTTTAAAGAATCTTGATTTTTAAAAAGGTTTGATCAAAATTCCCAAAGATTTCAAGGGTGGAATATAATTTCATGAAGCTAGACTGGAAGAGGTAAAAACATGTAACAAGAAAGAAAAAAAAGAAATTGTCAATGTCCTCGGCTTTCAATACGTTAAGTTAGAAACCTAGCAACCAAAGTAGTCGAGAAAAAATTTATTTCGATCTTACAGCATAATCGTCGTAGGTGCAAAACACGAAATAATTCTTAGATCAATGATTTTTGATAATATCCAAACTAGGTGGTACATCTAAGGGAACCATGCTATAGATACCGCTGGAAAAGAAATATTGGATTACTCATTCAGTCATTGCCATTCTTCAGGGCTACATTTTACACCTAGGAAGCGAAATCCAATCGCTCCAAAACTGAGGGAAACGGGACATCTTAACAGACAGATCACTAATCAAGGACAACTTGAAAATCCACCAAGAGAATATTGAGGATCTGCTTTCAAAAGATTCTGAAATGACGTTTTCTATTTCATCGCAGAAGTAAATTTTCCTTCGCATTTATTTACTATGGGAAGGATTCTGAAAGGCGGACATTGGAAAGTAAACAAGGTGCAACTCACAACATGGCTCCCGACTACTTATTACTACATCTTTTTTGGCTCCTTAGGGTCTCTTTTTCCTTTCCTGAACTTGTACTATCGAGCTGTTGGAATGGACCCTTGGCAGATAGGAATCCTGGGAGGAATTCGTCCCCTCATTGCCTTACTTTGTGCTCCAATGTGGAGCTTTGTGTCTAATAGGTATAAAATGAGAAAACTTGTACTAGTCACTTCGCTTGTGAGTTGGATTGTGTTCACCATCCCGCTGATGTTTGTTTCTCATTCGTCAGCCAACAAGCCTTGCTTTAATCAAGGAAATTACACCGCTCAACTCAGCTCGAAACATGAAGATTTCCTGCCCGGTCAGGAAAAAAGGGAATTCGATCTACCAGTCAGTATTTCGCTCGCGAAAGAACAACATACAGCTTATGAGAAGAAAAATACTCGCTACTCTCAAAAATACGGTGCAACTGGAAAGGCTCCCAAAGGAAATATCAAAAATGATGTAGAGGGAAAAGAAACATCGCATCATTCACGATTTTATTCTTTGAAAAGGCAATTTTTTAATAGTTTGGAAATGTCGGGACTAAAATTTGAGGCTAGCACTGATAGTAAAGGCGGAAACGGTCAGCGAAAACCGTATGACTTTAAATCTCGAGGAGTACCATATTACAACAGGAGAAAGAACCCGTACTCCAGTATAATATTCAACGAGATGCTTTTTATCGTGTTTGTAGGAGAAATACTTCAATCGCCTACGGATGATCTTAACACTCATTTTGATGGGACATTCTTGGAGCATTTAGGTGTGCTCTACCAAAACGTAGCCAACAACAATATCTATAGTTCGGTTGGTATTGGACTTGTAGCTTTGATCACAGGTTTATTGCTTCATTTTGCCCCTAAAATAACAATTTGTGACGTTGAATATGCAAATTACCAGATAGCCTTCATCATCTTTTCTCTACTTATGGCGGTTGCCATAGCAATTTCGCTCAAATTTGATTTCTCCTACAGAAGGTGCCGTCGCGGCTTTGAAATCCAAGAGTCACTGCGGCTGCTGGTGTCATCAGAACACATCACCTTTGTTTTCATCGTTTTGATCATGGGAATGCTCCGAGGGGTTCTCTTTAACTTTGTTTACTGGAATATAGTGGATATTGGAGGCTCGGATCTCGTTGTGGGCTTCACGGTTGTCAGTCAGTATTTTTCGGATGCGATCATGACTCTGTCCGCGCCGATTGTTATGACCTACATGGGATATATCGGTATGGTGTATCTTGGTCTTTCATCCTATGCTCTACGATTCTTGATTTACTCTTGGCTTAGCACCCCTCGCTCCTCGTGGGTTACCCCACCGGTTGAGCTTCTGCAGGGAATCTCCAATTCTACGGCCTGGTCAGCATTCCTCTTGTACATCACGAACTACACTCCAACATCGACCTTTCCAACAGGTTTATTTCTTCTTCAGGGGTTGTATTTAGGGGTGGGGGGAAGCATTGGAGGAATATTCGGGGGGATATTAATCCAGGGTTTTGATACTAATGTGGCCTTCCGAATCCTGGGACTCGTTAGTATACTGACGTGTTTGTTATTTATGATGATCCAGCCCTCTGGGGAACAAGAGAGTCTTCCTTCAGAAGCTGACACCATCTTCTTTCTCGCCGATGAAGATGATTATTCCAGCAACAGTGAGGATGAGGTATTCGATTACAGTCAAAGAGGAGTCGTTTACATTCCTTCCAAAGAGCAAACTAAAGGATCGCTACAAGTAAAGAAAATGGTTTTGCCTTCCTACAGTTCTCCTTTGGTGCCAATTTGTATGTCACTAGTTAGGAAAGAAGACAAACAGTTACAAACTACGTAAGGTTAACTATGTAATATCTCACGGCACCAGTGCATTAAGAAGCTGAATATGATTGCTGCTGCTGCCATCGATTATAATTTTTTTGCTCAAGTTGACGATTAGCAAGAAGCAAAATACACGCTTTAAGACTGAACCGTTGAATAATTCATATAGCTGAATCAATAAAAGAGGGAGAGTGGAGTCTGATTGTTTTTGTTGTGGTAAGAGGGGGCATTGAGGTCTATTAGAAACCGCAAAACAGTAGAAAAAAATCATCAGAAACCGCAAAAATAACTCGATCAAAACCGAAAACCGCATGCATAAACGTGAAAAATTTTGGATCCCAGTTATCAGAACCCTAATCGATCCGATGCAGCATACAGAGGTTTCGCGGCTATCCGAAATCAGAGGAGGCGCGTAATTGCCGCTCCGGTAGAAGAGGAACCGGAACCCAAATAAGGAAAACCGAAAACGACATCGAATACCAAATCCGATAATTCATTAGTATTTTTGAAGAAAATCGAAAACAAAATGCTCAAAAACGGAAAATCTACAAACCGTAATGAACACCAAAACCGAAAACCCGAAGTTTTCTAGTACAAAAACTGAAAAACCGATCTAAAAATAGCCAAAATCTCAATGCCCCTCTCTTATAGCGCAGTTTAAATGAGAACATCAAGACTGAGCCATGTGATCGATGAGCCATGTGATCGATGGTTTGTATAAAAATGGACCCTTTCATTGTTCAAGTTTGATCAAAGTATTTTAATCTTTTTCTCAACGTTGTATCGATACCTTCGGTACTTAATCGATAATCTTTTAACGAAGGTAGAGATAAAACCTGTAAATAAGTAACGTGTAGTTGGATTTCTCCCTGGTGATGACCTTGGCTACAGAAGTAATGCTGTAGTAGAGAGTTGGAGATTAAAGGAATGTAGATGTGTGATAGGACCCTTGTTTATCCAGGGGAAAGTAAACCTTCTCTATTTTTGAAAAAATTATAACTACAATCAGTGAAAAAAAAAAGTATGTCATACAATTGAAATATCATAAAAACACCAGTGAGTTATCTGTTTAATAGAGAGTTCATTAGTTTACCTATGAAAGTTTGTTTGCTCCAGTAAGTAGTCACCCATTTTGTTGATGTGCATTCGATTTCTAAATGACGATATACCACTACAATATAGCTAATTTTCAACCTGTGGTCGTTTTTTCCATACCAAAACGAACTTAATTACTTTTGTATAATAGCTACTTTTTTGTATGGTAGTGCGTTCTCTGGGGACAATTCGGGTCCTAAGCATTACAAATTGACGTCATGCCGCATGACGACCTCGCCATTCAAGAAGTCTTTGGAATTTACTTTAAAATATTATATCTCTTAATCACACCCTTTTGACTTCATCATAACATTAGCTACTTTTTAAGGAAATCTAAAGGGCATACACGAAACGTTGCTGTATTTCTTATGACATTAGACCGGCTCACATTTCAATACACTTCTTTTGAACGATTTCTTAACTTACCGAAAAGGGTTATATTTTAAATGCACAATTTTCAGCATTATTTAATCGCATAGAAGACAATTACCTCATACTTTTAAATCCAATCGAAGCGGATAATGAAAGCTGTGATTATGTCGAATCGTTGCCATTCACTGTATTCCTTGATTGCGTAACTTTGTCTGCTTTGTCTGTGAGGACGTCCGGCTGATATTGATGCGCAGTTCCGTTTTATCTCTTAAGAAGGTAGGAACAATACTAAATAACTGAGTTGCGTAAGCCATCTTAATATCTACAATACAACTATTCTTTTCCATCAAGTAGCGTTCAATCTTAGCTCCGGACACGAACAGTTGAGGTTAGATTCAGTTTTCACTGATGGGCAATGCTGACACAAAAACGGGTTGAAGCTTGAATTACTGGACATCTGTATATGATTTTATATATCACTTTTCAGGTAGGGCTTTCTCTCGTCCATGCGATCGTGATTTTGGAAGCAATGAGGTTAATTAAAATCTGCACGAAGACTGCTTTCCACTGTCTCCTGTGTTTTCAGCGACACACTCTTTTAACGACATTTTTATCGCAAATTTAAAATCTTCCCAGTTTATTTGGCTTATTAGGTGTTTAAAATGCATTTCTTTTTTTCAGTGAAACTTGGTTTTCTCTCCAAGAGTAAAGAGACAAGTTTTTATCTTTCTATTGATCATCATTGCCTTGTCATGGGCTGCCTTTTGAGTCAAGAGCAAAACATATGTCACTACCAGCGAGCATTTTCTTTTCAACATGATCACGCAAGAAGAAGAAAGTTTCCCACAAGAAATACAAACCGACCATTTTCAATGTTGGCCATGAAAGAACTATCCGACAGGTTAAAAGACTGGCCTTCGGGTCGACCAGTGATTAGAACTTCTGGAACTGACAGGGAAAAGCTTTGGCGGGAATGGCGTCCAGGAAAGCTGATGTGCCAGTAGTTCTTGATAAAAAAAAATACTTTAAACAATAAGTTGGCTTAAAACTGGGTTTCGTTGGATTATTCATTAATTATATAGGTCACCATCTTTTGTTTTCAACAATATTTGCGAAATATCCATAAAATATTTAATTGTGAGAGGCTTTTCCTGAAGGACCTGTAGGTAAATTTAGGTTACTCGTTGCCATGGTCGGACCACGTTACTGCAATATTGGATACTGACTAAGGATTGTCGAGTCAAAGTTATACAATTCAATGCACACGAAATTGTGGAATGTATGAATTTTGTGTAATGATTACCCTGAAGCATTCCACGAAAATTGACCTTGCGAACGCGTGAGAAGAACACTGCAAATGCATGTTATAACATTTTACTGCAGATGCATACCATAACATCTTACAATCTGCTGATCAGAATGTAAGTGCTTCTTGTAGAATTGCTAAAGTTCCGATTCTCGAAGAGCACGGATGCACGTCGCGCCAATATTTTGTGGTGATTTAAGAGAATTTTAGTAATTAAGATTACATGAACGTAAGAAGTCAGGCAGTTTCCTTTTAAGAGATCAGAAACATAGAAAAAAGATGTAAGCGAATTACTTCCATCCCTACAACTTCCTATCATTAAAAGGTACGAATTAATCAAAATACTGAATTTCGTTTTTTATGGGCAGGACAATACTTCAATGGATAATAATTTTTATGACAGCATTTTCGTATCAATAGCAAGTTAAATTTTCAAGAACAATTTTTCCAATGTCGAATCTCGACCTGTTGTGTTAATAAACTCCTTCGTTAACAATGCGATGAGCTGTAGCTGTCCGGAATGGACCAGCTGTGATCTGATGACTGCTTTTCAGAAGCCGCCAATCATTGTAAGACCATACGTTCCAACCAATGGCGCCGACCCAGCCACTTTTGGCGGGCAAGTTCGCGCTCCGCCAAGGTGCCCTCCATACGTGTTTGACGTCACTTGTGCGCTCGAGTGAAAACGTTGTGTGACCAAAGTAACTGGCTTCACGCAACTCGTAACGGGAAAATGGTTTGATACCATCAGGACCGGAGAATATCCAGTTGCCATGGCAGTCGGTGGCGTCGGCCATTTTATTTCATCGATTTTGCAAATCTAAAGAGGATCGAATGGATTGTTTTGTATCATTAAATACAAAAATCGTAAGATTGCGATAACTCAAAAAATAAATTTTTACCGCAAGTTTAATTGGCCTTTATTTCTTGTAAAATGCAGACTTATTGATCTTCTTGAACGTGACTGGTCCTGGCTGCGGTTTATCAAACTTGTAAACCTTAGCCTGAAAACTTCAATTAACTTGATTTTGTTGTTTTGTCTCCTCTTCGTCTAAAAGCGAGCCAAACTATCACCTTCATTGTAATAAAATGAAGGTATGATACCGTCCACAATTGTCATCCATAACAGACAAAATCTAAGCAAAAATTTTCATGGATCTGATAAATTAGACCCCTTCCATACTTTTAAACAAGAATACAGGTAGACTGACATAAGAATATCAGAAATTATTTATTATATGTGAAGACTCTTTCAACAATAAAAAAAAAAATTTCAAGATTTGTTTTTTACCTCAGATGGTTGTTCGATAATATACGTTCCGTAGGTCACTGTGAGTTGCCGAGACCAATCGTGGAGGAAATCTAGTTGCTTTAGTGAGATAATGTTGAGTTAAAAGCCAGAAAACCTGTCTCCTTGGAGACAAATATGTTTTACTTTAAGTAATGCAGAATTAGAATAAGCCTGCAGTCGGTGGTGCATAATTTAAAAGTACTGCATTATTAATACCACGCATTCACACATTATACACAGGTATCTCAAGTTTGGTTTAACCACCTTTGATGATAAATGATATGATAAAGTAAACAGTTATAAATACATTGATATAGCGCCCGCCAAAATCCACTTCTTCTCCTTTGCATCTTATAGGGCTTTCTACAAAAAATCTATGATTAAGAGATATCAAAATTAATCGTAAATATGGGCATGCTTGTTTTCTTTTCATCCTTACCATGAAAATTAGAGTTACCAGCTGTAATAGTATGAATTTTAGGTTCAGTGAAAACGTGCCGTCGTTAAAGTCCCTCAAAAAAATGTACAAGATGAGTTAGTGAGTCGCTAAACAGTTGTAGACTTGACGTGCACATCATCGTTTATATAGGCCCCTATTTAAACCAGTTGTAAGCTTAACTGGGCCAGGCCGTCTACATATCGCAAATGCATTCATACATATACAAATACAATTATCGGTAAAACTGTCCCGCTGAATGTAAGTTCATACTGTGAGCGCCATCCTCTGGAATTTCTATGTAAATGGAATACGCAGGATCCTTGGAAATTTCCAACCGGAGTTTGATGCATCCCACTTACTACACGAGGAAACCTGAGAAACAATTGCAGACCTAAAAGTACCTTTGCAACCGCAACTTTTATTACAGTCAGCTCCGAAAGAAATGCGAAGTGAATGCGCTCTAGTGGTTGAAATTAAAATGCTTCACTCATTTTAGTATCAATCGTCCTTACGATTTCATTGTAGTTCTCGTGATTTTGTGATCCCACAAGTCTATTGTAATGTGACCTGTTACAGTCTTACAGTTCCTAACGGCTTTAATACATGGCATTTATAAAATTCTAACTTATTCAGTCACAGTTTGAACTGTATAACGTACAACTCACTCAGCAGGATATTTCCAAAGTGGCATGACAAGTTGGAAATTTAAATACCCACAGGTTCAGTTCCAGTTCCATTTCGAGTTCTATTGTATGTTCCTCCAATTAGCAATCTAGTTGCTCCGGAGTAGCACTGTTGTATTGTCGTTCAATCAATGCCTCGTAACAAGCTTTCACCTGCGTGCCTCTTTTCGCTTGTTCAATAGAAAGGTTAATCCACGGGTTCCGTTTGTGTAGCCGCATTGATAACACAAATAGCGTCTTCTTTTTCATCATAGTGTTGGGACAATGACAGACATGACAGAGATTTAGAAACTGGCTCCTGATCACATTTCTCTGCCTGTCATTTTTCGTTATGCGTAGGATGAGGGAGTCTAAATTGTCTTTCACTTTCTCCACGTACACTTAGAAAATATTTTCTTTCGTGTGGGATATAATTTTTCAGGCTACTACTCATGCAGTATAGACGGATAAGTTCCAAAGATGAGTTTTTCCAACTCTGATCTCTGGGAACATTTGGCCAAAACTTATCCCGCTACTCTTTGAGATGTTTCACCTGCTTTGCCTTGAATTATTCGTGGGAAACTATTCTTTTTATCTAAAACCCCTCAGGGACACATTTAGCAGCCTCCCTTCACTTTTTACCCTCGGAACACCTCACTCGCTTACCATGGAGATACTTTCTAGACCGACTTCTGCTAGGGACACGTTTGGCCCTCTCTCTTTGAGGCAGTCTTTACCTATACACCTCCACAAAATTGCATCACAAGTTTTGATAATTATACCTAAATCGTCGATTTGATACACTTTTCTCTTGCCGAATGCATCGCTCACAGCTTCTCTGTTCTTCTTGTGTAATCAAATATCCCAATAAAGAACTTTTTCGCTCATGACGACGACTATATGCTTCTCCAAAATAGGAGTTGCTGGTTGTCAATGGAGCAGCTGATTGAAGTTCAACGAAGCTCAAATTCTTTCATGAGAGAATAATTGGTCGGAGTGCGCATATTATCGAAAACCGCAACAAACGAGGAAAGACTCTCCCGGATCCCACTGTTTACTCCAATACGTAGGTAAAATGTCTTTAATTTTAAATCTATAATTAAAATACGTGTGGGTCATTACGTGCTATTGGCATAGATAGTTTATAACCAAGTGGAATAGAATGAATGGTCGTAATTCTTTTCGTTCTTCAGCTGAGAATCTCGATCACCTCTTCTGGTTACTTCGCCTAAAGTTAAACATCGGTCCAGCCATCCAGAGTTGCTTCGTAATGTATCGATAGATGTTGCACGGCTGCGGGCATCGTCGGAGACTGTCGCAAGCGACCCGGCGTAACTTCTTACGTCTTCAGGAAACGATCCTAGGTGGAGGTTGAATACATTCTCAGGCCGCCTTCGGAGAAGATCTGGAGTTGATTGGTTCATTCTTAACAACAAGGAACTATTTGCATAACGTTGCGGAATATCTCCAGCTCTAGGTTTCCTCTTTGGCAGCTGTTTTACCATTTTTTCCGCACGGAAAATTATACTGTACAACTTTGCCGAAAATAGGGGGAATAACACAGCTGAAGCGGCTAAAGGGTGGCTTAACCTAACCACCCTTCCTCGTATCAAGTTTTGGCTGTTCATGGTGCAAACTACAGATAAAACAATTAAATGCAATGTGGCTGCTGTATATATCGCCAAACCTAAACTTTTGGTTTCTTTAAATTGCTTTGGGAGCTTACGGGTTTTGAATGTGTAGACCCCACACAGGGCGAGAAGGCTTAGATAGAAGGAGTTGGTGACTACCACGTGCGGGTTTGAGATGTTGCATTGGACAATGACCTCTTTTGCTGAATAGATTCTCAAAACGCTGTCTTGGTAGCTGGAAACAAATAAAAATCGTATGAGGTGAGGTCAATTCTCTTAAAGAAAGAAATAGAGGATACCCGAAGAATTTCTGAAGTTATTCGGTCGAGGAGGGTCACTTAAAAACAAAGAAAATAGTACACAGTAGAAAATATCGCTTTTTATAACTCAATATCGTCCTTCTTTGATTAACCTCGAGACAATACTGATGGCGAGATGGCACCTTATTCAAAACCCACGCAATTACTTACATCGTAAAGTAAAGTCATTAAAATATATCCTACTCAGAATTAATTTCTGGCTGGGTGATAGATCATAATGGAAATTTCCCGAATTTAGATGGCATAGAAAATGGTGGACCAGGCGCGGAGTGTCTTTTGGTTGACTTGGATCCTTTAAGTGGTCAAACATCAAACGCGAAACGTAACTACCACAAGTAAATGAAATAAGTTAACGTTGCCATAACTTTTTGTTAGATACTTACGTGAAAAAGCCCCAAATCGTGGAGAAAAGTAGGGCGATTCCTAAGATGAATCCTATGAATCCTAGCTGTGAGCGCGTGCTGACAAATGTAGGATTCAATGTTTTACGGAGTGAGCTGTTGAAGAGACGATTCACTCTCAGAACCTTGGAGGTCATCACAGCATAGCAAGTCACATGGCCTAAACAGGTGTATCCTCTCAAACTGCAAACGCGTTTATCTAGGGATAGGACATAAACATATTCAATTAAGTTATCAGGGACTATCAGTTTATGGTTTTCTTACCCGGCGTTATAAGGGACAATCTGACAAATGCAACACACCGATACATCAAATCTGTAGAGTCAATTTCCAAGTGAACGACTGAGGTTAATGTTAGTATAATTGTAACAATTGGAAAAAGATCCTCATCACAAGGAAAATTTATTGTGCATAAAATTTATAGAATTTGGCAACAGCATTTCATTTCAGCATTTTAGATTTGCTCTTCGTACTCTAATTCCAACGCGAACGGAAAATTTGGTGTTGCTTTTTACAATGAAACAAAAACCGGAAAGTATGAACATGGATACATTACGTGGCTCCATTAAATCTACGAAGCTTTCAGCGAAAGATATCATGATTCCAACCAACAAGATACAGCTTAGCCCGCGACTAGACGCTTTGATGACTGGATGATGCTTGAGGATGACGAACACACCCAGCATGAACAAAGTACAAAGAACTCCAGTGGCTGAGAGCGACAAGGTGAAGAGAAGCAGAGATGACGACGGGTCGACATTGATAACTGGTTTAGGTAGGCAGTTTACTCTTTTTTCATCTGGCTAAAATAAACATTATAACATGAGGCCAAACATAACACTTGAGGTCTCTCAACTAAGTGTAGTATAACCAGAAGCAAAGTAACCACATGGGTCAATCAGAGCAAAGTGAAAAATCCTAAACAGTGAACGAGAATTTAAAACGACGCGTGGGAAAACCCGAGTGATTTGATAAGTTTAGAGGCAACACGAGTTTATGAGCCAATCACGGAGCGTTTTGGGGAAAACCAACGCAATCCTTGATTATCTACGACGTTTTTAATGAGAAATGCTCCAAGTACTGTCTTATTTAGATAAAGACTATCATAAAAATCCTGAAAAGATGGTTAAAAGTAGTCCAGATTTTAATTTCATGAAAATCAAAAGAACAGCTCCTCGCTAATAAGTGAGAACACAAGGTTTCAAAGTCGTTGTTTCTCTTCCAACACCAATTTCTCAAATAGGTGGAACACAGCTGTCACCAAAGTTGTAAAATAGGATGAAAACGAAAATAAACGAGCCAGTCAAGGCTAAGAGGTTGATCAGTGGTGACATTGCTGACATTCGCTTTTTTTTCGAAGCTTGGCAGAGTAAAGAGTTATGATATACCATGGCAGTAAATGCCGAGTTCTAAATCAAAGCTTCCCCGTCTGTAGTTATAAAAATTGTTCTTAAATGGGGAATATTAAATGAATAGTGATAAAATTCTTAACAACGATATGAAAAATCATAATTGCATAGCTATATTACCATGAAGTCTGGTGTGCATGTTGTACATTCCGTTTGATTGCTCGATGTGATCTCATCGGTTTTACATGGTTCGCATCTCCAACAACAAGTCTCGATAGTAATTTTTCTTTCTCCCACATCGCATGGACGACTGCAAAAGGTTCTGGGCAGTATAAGTGCATCCTCAAATAGCTGCACTTTAACAGGCCCCGCCCCTTTTATCGGTGGACCCCAGCGGCCGAACTTTTCGACGCCCCACGATGACCCTTCTTTCTTAGGTCTTAATATGTCGTATTCTGCGGAAAGATCTCCGTTTTTGTCGAATTTTATCTTCCGTCCGTTCAACGTCGTATAATTTACATTCAAAATATAATCCAGCAATAGGGTTTGATTGAGTGATTTTTCTTTCAAACACGTTGCGGTGTTAGAATTATTTGCACAGAAAGTTTTGCACATTTTGTCCAGTGCGTGAGCAAAAGCGTACACGGAGTTGATGACGCTTTGAATGTATAAATCTGCGGATATTGTTTTTCCTTCATTTTCAGGGCGATATTTTGAGGTTTCGTACTTTAGCTCTATTTCTGAGAACCACGGGCTGTGACTTACATTGCTCCTGTTTCTCCATTCCATGAATCTCGTTGACTTTTCATTACGAGGTGAACACAAAACTATATTTTTAGCGACATCTTCGTTTCCATTTAAGTAAACGGACATCTCTGCGTAATCACCTCCTACAAGCCATCTGAAAAACCTTTCCTTTCCAAACTTTTTAACCGATGTAAAAAGCAAACTTATATCACTTTTGGAACAAAAGAGGACAATAACTTGTGCATTTATCTTTTGGCTTATGTCCATGACTATGTCATCAAATGTTAACACTGTATGACCTTGAGGTAGCGCCCTTGTTATACCAACACAGATGCCTCGCTCTTTCGCCGCTTGCGTGAAGTATTTTTTCCCCTCTCTGCCAAACTCATCGTCAGAATATAGAACTGACACGTATTTTGTTTCATTTTTCAACAATAGATCCACCAAAGCTTGAGCGCGCACAGCGTCAGAAGGAACTGTTCTGATAAAATACTTGAAGCGGCTCTTGTCGCTGAGTAATGGACTGGTTGCGCCATAGCTCACATGCGGCACTTTGAAAAGTCCAAGTAGATTGGATACCTGAAGCCCGACACTGCTGGAATAAGGTCCTACAACACCAACCACTGGTGATGAAGGCTTTTTCCAGCACGACGGAAGGAAATTAGAAGCTTTCTCCAACGCTATTACGTCTTTTGAGCAATAATCGAAGATTTCAAATCCTAAAGAAATCCCTTGCAATATACTTGAATTTCTGTTTGTTTCATCAATGGCGTACATCATGGCTTCGGCAAAGTAAAGAGCGTCAAGGGATCGAAGATCGCCGCACTGACCTTTACAACAATTCGAGCAATAGGAATGGACGGGAAACAAGCCGCCCAGAATAAGATCTCCCGCTTTGAAAGCTCTATCCGTGAGGTTCATTTTGCAACCAAACGAACACAAAATTATGTTCAAAATGAATACGATTCGAAACGAATTCGTTCGGTAAATCATGCCAATTAACAAAACCTTCCTGGTAGATATTATTCTTCTTCAAAGTTCTGCGTGTGTATGGCAAGACTGTTTCCTTTTGGGATAAAACAAGTCCACTGCTAAATGGCTGCATTAGCAAAGGTTACGAAATTTTTTTTAAAATAGCTTTGTCGTTAAGACCCCTTGAAGTAATTGCAGGAAAGAGGGAAAACACCTTTAAGGAAATCTTTAAGTTTTTTGGCGCTTATACATCCGGACATGTGAATGTGGAGCTGTTGTGGCATATTTACATCAGTCACTTTGATCCCAAATGTATGATACGCTTTCTAAATTAATTACTTTGACATGCAAGCGAATTATGTATGACACAAACTAGGAGCATCTCTTCTCATCGAGCCTTTGAAAAAAGTCTCAAGCTTCAGGGATGGAATCTTCCTTTAGAAATTTAAATCCTTGCTCCAGAAATTTACTGTAATTTGTAAATGTGGCTGTAAACTGATTCACCTATTTTAGTATTGCAATTAGATACACAACAATTTAACCCATTTAAAATAAAGTAAAGCTTATCCTTTTAAATTTCGCTTTTGCTCCTCAAAACTGAATATGAATTTGTGGTACACCTGCTGAATTCAGACGTAATTAAAACCAAAATCTCGCGATTGGACAAACTGTAGTCAACACTGAGGAAGCATGATTAAATTGCCTGCTAAAAACATTCTACGTCCTTGCATTTAAAGTATACATCAAGTAAGATTTTAGAACAGCTTACAGTATATCGCTTTGTTTTCACTTAACCAACGTCCTTTTTTACTTTTCAAGTAGCAGTCAAGTATTATTATCTTACAAGCCGTGACTGACGACAAAACAAAAGGCCACAAATAAGCATACTTTAAGAAACTGTTCGAAATTGCTTTAATGATTTGCTCAGTCATTTATAATTTACGAAGAAAGAGAGAGTCATTGTAGTCTATTAGCTTGAAAGGGGGAAGGGTATTTTTGTAACCAATGCAAGCTCAGCAATTGCATCACCAAGCGATCGAGTTTAGAACTGATAAATGTGTTTCTGATCTTGGCAATATTAATGCTGAGAGCAATTAGCAAATATCGGAAATAATATGTCCAACTTCAATTATTCCGCAGAAGTGTCATGTCGCGGATCACGGTTACAACTGATGATATCTTTGAATAGATGTTACTCGTCCTCAAATGGTAAAAGGTCCGTGAAAAGTTATGTAACATCAGTTTGACTGACTTGATTTTGTTTTAAACGGAATAAGAAAATCACTATCCCCCCAAAAAATTGAAGACACTTGGGAAATTTGGAAACAGGCTACGATTATGATTGGATTTTATACTAAAATGAGTTTGAACTCCTGAAAATTAATTTTAATACTCGGGTTTGAATTAAGGGAGTAGAATTTACATAATAATCAGTTTTCTTTGGGGTAATCTAAAGTGGCCTTTTCCTGTTGGCAAAAAAGGGATCTTCCACATTATGGCGACAAAATACTCATTTCTGTTTCAACAATGGGAGAAAATGACGGAAATTTTTAATAAGGAAAATAACAATGTTCATCAAATATTTATTGCTAATACTCAAGGCGATTACGGACTTTCTGAACAGACATTCTTAGCACATTTCCTTATTAAATAGACTCCTATGCTGATGGTCTCAATCTCCTCGCTCAGTTCGTCAATACATCAATCTTAATCACAAGTGACCAAGGTTCACTAAACGAGAAGCGGGAAGGCCATATAGGAAACGAAAAGCGACGTGTGACATGCGTTAGTTAACAATTACATAACATCGGTTTGATTTAGTGAAACGTGATTCTTGCTAGGGGGTTGGCCGGGATATGCCGACTTCACCTAAGTTTCCTTAAGCTTTTGTCTGTGGTTAACTGATGCAGTTCAATAAAGGTGACTGTAAACCTGCCAAGTAACCCGCCATATTCTTTTTTCACTTTCCTTCTCTTTTATCAAGCGCACTATAACGCCTGGAAAATATTTGGAGTCAAAAATCTGAAGAAAATCATATCTTTTGAAGACGAATTTCTCAATGAAACTTGAAGGTCTCAATGTAATAATCTCCGAATAGGTGGAGGTTATACGTACAAACGCTGTAGATAATTTTTTTCTGATTCATACAACTGATTCAACCAGACGCTAAGTATAAAAAATTCAGATGTGTGAACGGCAATGTCGTATATCATGGTCGGTTTTGCGGGCACACGTTTTATGGTGTGTAGAATCGCAAATGCTGCTTTGTTACGTTAACTTGACGCCAGTAATCACCATCCTTATCTCGTAAAACACTGGCCGCTGGCGTTATCTTCAGTGTTAAGATATGGTAAGTTAAAACAATGATTTTTAAAGTTAATCCTCCTAAACGGTTAAAAATCAGCGGATGTTTTCTTTTCCCAAAAGGAAACCAAGAACTTCTTAACGATTTTAACATAGAAAGGTCATTCAATTCGAGCAAAGGGCCTGCTAGTGTTCTTATGTTCATATAATGCTCTTTTTAATCTGATCGAATTTGCATGATATCGTCATTCTGTTATATGCGTTTATTTTCTTCCACATTTTGTATGACGAAATTTAAGGAACTTGCGATGATAAGCCTTACTTACCCTGAGAGATTATGTCTTGGAATAGGCAACTAGTTCCTCAACATGCAACAGCTTGCAGAAATGCAAATCTTGGTCTGGCGATGTTTTGGTGGAACTTTAGTTTTACTCCGGGGCGAATCGAGAATTTGGTTGTTCAAAGGAAACTAGAAAGTTATTGCATGTTTTGCTTTACTTTGCTTCTCGAGGAGCTAAAAATAATGCATTTTTCGTGTTTTTGAGACACGGATATATTACGTAACCAGTGCGTTTCGCAACACTAAAAATTATTTTCATGTCTTTCTCATCTACCTCATGTAGAAATTCTGGTGTAAAGATTGATTACGACCTTAAGTAGAAAGTAAAACAACCTTTATCCATATGAGATGCATGAGCAGTGTGTCTATTAAATGAAATTTCCCCTGTTTGCTTTGCTCTCAGCACAACGAAACACGTTAACAATGCAGAACGTTCTCTCTTAAACTATCATCTTCTTGACAAACCAGGTCTCCTTTATCCATCCTTTGTTTCTGCAATGTTTAGAGTAACTTAATAGATAAAGAAACGACGAGCTGACATAGATCGAAGTAACCAGGCAATTAAAAAATTTACAACACAATATCTTTCTTGGTTTTTATTTTTTTCAAAGCTAGGTATTCATTCTAGAATGGTATTAGATAAAAAATGTCACATCATTAAATGTCTAGTTTTTGACAACTCATGTCTTGCCGATCACGCATGCGTCATGCCAATGAAATTTACGACTGGCTTCATTTGAGAAGATTTCTTGCTCCTTTAGGACGATTTAAAACAAATATTGCAAACGAATTGTCAGTACATCTTCTTGCAATCTATAATTCTGATGGCCAAGAAAACTCGTGGGCGTTTCATTCTTTGCCAGGAAAATTTGAAGCGTTCGTAATGGCTCGTGCTTTAGGCGGAGCGAGTCAGTTTTAAACTGCGGTCGAGTGCTTTGAATGTTGCCTCCTCATCATTTTACTCTAAAAGGAACAGGAAAAAAATGGTCTTTGAAAAAATTACTCGTACTTATTTATCTCAAATTACACTCATAATCAGCTCAGTACTTGTTCGTGATATTCATTTAATTGCACACTTAATTCCTTCAAAATTCACATTTTTGCACTCAGGTTCAACTTTCCGCAAATTTTATGGTCCTCATCGTTTAAATCCTCAGAGGATGATAGAATGTTTGATCTCAATTTTCAAAAACCGCTTTCGCTGAAAATTTTTCATTCTTGGGAATTTTGTGGATTGTGTTAGCTCCGCAAAAATGCGTTCCTGTAGAAAAAGAAGCTTGTAGATTGGAACGCTGAAAAATATACCTTTGGTACATTGAAAAATTCCATGAAGGGAGACTGTTTTAAACCTTTAACTTATAACCCTGATTTATATTTGATTACGATTTGGGGAAATGTCTTTGATAAGCATAATGTGCTATAACTCAATTGGTTTATATCTGCTTCGTTCCGTTTTAATGTCCTGCAGCTGGAAGAATATCGAAAAAATATTGCCAAATTTGTATTTCGCCCACGCTCAGTTCCTGATGATATTTTCCATGCCACAAGCAGATTTCAGCTAGAAAATCTATGAACGTTATTCATCGATAGCGTCCTACCTTTTTGACTGATACTGTCTTTCTATCCTCCATTAAATGCCTCTTTGGCACAGAATTCTTTGAAAAAGCATCTTTATGTATTTGGGAAGGTTTCCTATGTTTAGTCTTGGTGTCCTCCTTCTGGTGTGTCTTGGAGCGCTGAAATTGAAATTAACGTTGATGTCCAACCAAACTGAGCTTAATACGGCTAATTTTTAAAAATGCCTCGCTATTTGTTGTGAAAGCAAGGTAATTGCAGATCGACAAGAACGTTAGCCGTGGCTCACTTGCAATTTTCTTAGATGTTGCCGGTCTTAAAGTCACTCAGAAAAAAAAGGGGTTCATTTAAGTAGATGAATTTGGTAAGATGGTGTCCGTCCAATAGAGGCCAAAGGTATCAATTGTTTGTCCTTACGGCGACGTCAAAGTCGTTTTCAAAGCTTTACTTTGTCTAACTGCCAGTAAGGTTAAATCGTTACCTGGAAGTCTCGTGGTCTTGCTATTGTTGACTGTTCAGGGATAAAAGTAAGTCGTCAGTGAGTCAGTAGTATTCTGCCGCAGTTATTGTTATCATTAGTCCGTAGAAATGATGAAAATGTCTTTGTCCATTCCTTTTGAAGTATTTATAAAGAAAGTCATAACTTACTATGCAGTAATAGCTAGCAGGCACATGTGGTGAACTTATGTGTCAGTGGAAGATGAACAGATTTGTGATGTGATAGTAACGTAGCGTTTACGGTACATTTCTGAACACAATGCTTATTCCTATTCGAAATAACTTAATAGTGTCTATGATCAAA